GGACCAGTAGTCATCAGCAGTCCCGAGCCGACGCACGCGGCGGGGTCAATCACACTGCGTGCGGGTGGGGATGGGGGGGCCGCCGACCGGGGTGTCCGTCGTCCGGTTTTGGGTTGTTTTTCCCGGGTTGGGCCACTTATTGCCTCCTACCCCGCACCGGCCGACGACAACATCGATATCTGTTCGATTGGTCGGCGGGAGGGTTGTTTTGGTGATGGTGACGACAGCGGGGAGGCCCAGCAGAGCGACAGGGGGTGGAAAAAAGGGGGGGAAAGCGGCGGGTGATGGGCGGCAACAAAGGGGGGGATCGCTCTAGCCGTCTGGAGCCAGCAACAGCGGGGTTGGGGAAGAAGCGGCAACAAGCGAACCCCGGCCGAGCGAGCCTGTCTCTGCTGCGTATACCTACCCGGCCCGGTGTGGGAAGCAGCGGAAAAACCCAGCAACAAGCAGTCCCCGCCCAAACGGCTTTTTTCCCCCCTGCCCCCTCCCCCTGTCTCGACCCAGCAGGGTCCTGGGACAGTGTCCACGACGGGCCTCCGTTCCACCCGCCGAACGCGGTGCACAGTGTGCGGGCCATCATCTGTGACGACCCCCACAAGGTCGGTGTTATGTGCTGGAGCTCCGCCGGTGCTTTGCCGGCTCCACCCCGAAAGCAAGCCGCCGGCCCTCTGCTCTCCCCGGCCCCAGCAGTGGGCCCGGGCCGGCCCACTGTCGGGGGTGGGGTATCCCACCCCCCCGATCGCGTGTGTACCCAAAACACGGCATCCCGCAGGTGGGGAGGCCGTCGAGAGACCCCCGACCGACCGATGATGCCTCCCCCCTATCTCCCCGGCCATATGCTCCTCGTCGTCGCCCCCATTCTCGTTGGTCCTCACCCCGCGGGCGGAAGGAACACCCGATCGCCCTTCCCACCGCTCCCCCGCCAGTCAGTCGGTGGGAGAGGCCCGCCGCACACGCACCGCCGGGGTCGCTCCGGGCGGCTGTGCTGGCCCTTGTCGGTTGGTGCCGAACCCCCGCTTTTTCCCGGCCCATATCATCCCGGCGGCCGGTGTACCGGGGCGCAGCAGCAGCGGGTGTAAATGGCGGCGGCCCGGTCGTCGGTTGGGGGGCGGCCGGAGAGCGGCGGACGGCCTTCTTCGAGCGGCCGGCGATGTTGGGGCGGCCGGAGCGAGCACTGCCCGCCCCGGGGGAATAATGGGGAAAGAAACGGGTCGACGAGAAGCGGGGATCGGGGAGGTTGAGGGTGGTGTCGTTCGTGTCGGGGTGGACGACCGACCGGGTGTGTCCCGCCGAAAACCGGTGGTCTGTGTTTTGTTGTTGGGGGATTTAGAGGCCGAAGAGACGTGACGGAACACACCGAGGATCAATCATCGGGGGTGGGGGTGTGGTGGCCGCCGGTAGCTTGGGTTGGGTATTGGGTTTTCTGGGGGATGCCAACAGACCAGTGCCCGCCGGATCCGGCGAGTGGACGAGAGACGTCCCCGCCGGGGGGCGGTGTGGGCTGCTGTTCCCGGCGGGGAGAGACGGGGCAGTGTGGGCGGCCGGGGTGCACACCGCCCGAAAAGGGAGGGAGCATGAGAGAGGACGGCGAAACGACGGAGGAAGGGCCGAACGAAGGCCGATCGGTGTGCATGTCCCCCGTTCGTCGATGCTGCTGCTGCTGCCCCTGTCCAGGACAGAGCCAGCAGGGCGGAGGTCAAAGGGGATTCATGGTGGTGGGTATAGGGGAGGCGAGACCAACCACCAAAAGACGCCCAGAGAGGGGGGGCGGGAACGGCGATCGTCGAGTAGTCATCAGTCGACCGGCGCCGGGGCGGAGCACGACGGGTGGGGAGAGTGATTCGAGGCAGGCGGGGTTTCTCTCGCTCGGCCTATCCGTCAACCCCCGGAAACCGGGTCCGGGGGTTGGGGTGGGTGAAGAAGGAAGAATGGGGCCTCTTCGGGGGGCCAAACCGCCCCATCGACCGCAAACCCCCCGGACACGACCGGCGGGCGCGAGTCGCCCTCAGCGGATTCAACAAACCCGATATCGGGTCGAGCCTGCTGGCTGGCGCATACTCGGGCACAGTGTGCCGCACACCACCGCTCGGGCGTTGGGGCGGGGGAGAGCAGTCGTGCACCTCCCACCAAACCTACTACCGGTTCAGCCAGCGGGCTGACGCCCCAACCAAAACCACCCAACAAAGGGGCGTCGGGGTGGGAAGAAAGCCGAGAGCGGTTCGGTCGGCGAGAGGCCCCCGAAAGCAGTGGTGCACACGGGTGTGAGGAGCAGCAGCAGCAGCAGCAGCAGCAGCAGCGTCACCGGCCTCCCGGTGGTTGGTCTCTCCGTGCACTGGCCCCGCCCTCTCTCTCCCTGAGGCTGGTTCTCGGGGGCACCTGGCCCGGGGTTGGGTGGGTGGTCGGTCATCACCCCAAACCCCTATCCCCACCCGACGACGACCACCGCATAATACACCCCGAACCCGCCGAAACGACGCCCGGTGTGGAAGAAGGAAGAAGCGCTTCCCGACCGGGGCAAAGCGAGCAGCCCAACAAGCGCACCAGCTTGCTGCTCTTCCCGCCGGTGCACACACCACCCAAAAGCGGAGGGAGAGAGAGAGAGAGAGAGAGAGAGAGAGAGATAGCGGTGCCCACCCCAGCAGACCACCCCCGACCGGAGATATCTCCAGAGGCTGCGGCGGGTGCGCGGATGATGGATTGATTTACACATGCACATCGACACCCTCTCCGTCTGCCTGCTGTGGAGCCCGCCACAGCGGCGCGTCGTGGGCCTTCACTGCTGGGCTGGTTTTGGATCATCGGAGAAGACACCCGCTGCTGCTGCTGCTGCTCCTCCATCCCCTCCTGGCCGGACCCAGATCCCGCATGCCGTGGGCGCACGTGATCCGGCCATGCATGTGACTACGGGAGACCGGTCGGACGCTGCTCTCTCCTCCTGCCCCGGCCCACGACGGGACACAGAGCAGGCCCCGCCCACGTCGACGGTTTTCTTTCCTCCCTCCGGTGTGCCCGAACAAGGAAAAGGGGGGGCGGCGGCGGCGGCGGCGGCGGCGGCGGCCCTCTCCTTTCCTTTCCTTTCCTTTCCTTTCCTTTCCTTTCCTTTCCTTTCCTTTCCTTTCCTTTCCTTTCCTTTCCTTCCTCGTGCGCCGAGACCCGCTGCAGGTAGGGGGAGGGGAGGAGAACCCACCCGCGGGCATGGGGGGAGCGAGTGGTCGTCACCGAACGTGTGCCGGGCGGTGGGACGACAGTGTGCCCGATGCCGTGAGCCCCTCCTAAAACCCGTTTCGTTCGCCGTTTGAGCACCCGCTTTCCCCCACCCTGTCCAGGCCGCCCCGGCCCTCCGACCACCTCGATTATGGTGCTAGGCCGGGGATCGAACCAACAACCCCACCGCCCCGACACCCCGGACGGGTTTTCTCTCTCTTCGTTCGGGGACATCGATGATCTCGGTACGGCGATACGCCGCGGCATGGCCGGGGGAGCCGGACCGGGGCGGGGTTCATGGTCGTCGGCGCCTTCCACCCCATCCCCGTTGGCCGACGAGCAGCCAAACCACCCAATCAATCGTCGGAGGAAAAGGTTGGTGTGTTCCAAGGCGGCCCCAGCCTTTCTTCCAGCATCGACTCCCAACCGATGAACCTCCCCGATGCTGGGACGGGGGGTTTGGGCCGGGTGGAGAGCAGAGGCGCTGGGCTGGCCCCAACAAGCAGCCCCACCCATACCCGCACCAGTCATGCCAGAGAGACGGTGTGTCCCCGGGTGGGTTCCAACCGCCCGCGCCAGGGAGCGACGACCAGCCCCGACCCGCCGTGCGCCCAGGAGGAAGAAGAAGGAGCAGCCGCCCGTCGCTGCTTTGCCCTCCGCCGTTGTGAGGGTGCGCCCCGACCGAAAGCCGACGATGGTCATGATGCCGATTCGATCCGGGCGTTATGTGCGGGGCGTGAGTCGGCGAGGAGGGTGGGCGGCCCGCGGCCGGCGTTGGGCTGATAGCGGATCATCGGGCCCAGCAGCTCGTCGCTCGGTAGCATGGGGAGAGGAGAGAGAGTCGCGGGGTGGTATACTCCGACTCGGGACGGAGGTATGCCCTGACGGCAGTGACAGCGAAACCACCGGTCAGCGGGATAGCCAGCCGCTGACCGGGGGCGATGATCGATGATCTCCCCGTCCGTCGGGTCGACCACGGACGGGCATTCTTCTCGAAGAACCTGCACACAGAGGATCTCGGCCGACCCCCTCGGCACATCGTCCGTCGTTCCTTGGTTTTTCCTCGATCGACCGGCAGCCATCCCCCCAAACCCCCAAAGCCGGATCGAGACCACCGCGGTCGTTTCGGGGGTGTGGATCAATCACGCACGGAAACCGCTACCACCGGCATGATACGGGGCAGGGGGACGGCCGCGGGAGAGGGTGGGCTTCGGTCGGGGTCGACCCACCCCGGGCACACCGACCACCCGGTTGGGGAGTCGTCCGGCGGACGGGGGTGCACGCGCGACGGAAGAAGAAACCCGGGCCGAGAGCAGAGGGCGTGTTTGGGCTGGAGGGAGAATCGGCGGTCGGGGTGTTTGGGCGAGCCGGTCAAGGGCGGGTGGTGCGCCGGGGACAGGGACTACCCGTGCTGGTGGGGGAGGCGGGAACACCGTCCGCCCCGGGCTCATTGATTGATCATGCCGGTATCGTGGAAAGGCGGCCCGGACCCGTGTGTGTACGGGCGAGGGCGGAGGGACCTTCATAATGGACCGGGTGCGGGGGATTCGCGGGAGTCGGCGCAACCCAGGGGGATGGACGGGCAGCCGACCTCCTGATGGAGGCAATGTGCGTGGGCTGGTGGGGTGGGTGGGCTACGCTCGCTCCGGTACGGGCGGGAAGGGGGAGCAGCGGCTGCTGGGTCGTCGGCCGCCGGTCGGGGTGGACGACCATCGGCCTCGTCGACGGGTGGGCTTGGAGAGGCCGAATCGTCCCGCACCGGCCGCACGATCCAGCAGACCCCAGCATCATGCATGATGGCCCACCCGTCCGGGCTGGTTGGGCTGATCTCCGGGCGGGCCGTGCGTGACATCGGGCACGTCATACGGCTCTCTTTCCCCGGGCCAGGCAGCGCGTGGTGAAGACTCTACGCGACGATTGCTTCGAGCACGATCGGCGTAGGCCCGATCCCCCCGGCCTATCCTCCCCGGAGCGGGGAGATCGATTGGGGTGGCATGGGGAGAGCGGAGGGGTTTGGCGTGCGGGGAGGAGTGGTCGGGTTGAGGGGGTGCACCCGGACAGAGTGGAAGCGGGCGGATAGAACACCCAACCGCGCAGGAGGGCCACACGACGGCGACATGACCAACGGCCGCCACCCCTCCCCCTGCTGGGTGGCCCTCTTCGGGGTGGGCCTTCCCCGATCGGGGGGGACATATCAGCCGGAGTGCTTGCTCTCCCCCCCGGAGAGGGTGGGGCGGAACACGGACCCGTGTCCGGCGGGGGTGGGTTCGAGGCCGGGCTCAGCATCGGCCAGAAAAGGGGGTCTACGCGGCGCGGTAGACATGGGCGGGAAGGCCCTGGGAGGGCGGCCCCCCCTATCCGGCCGAGACCAGTGCGGGAGAGGATATGGGCGGGGCTTGTTGGCCGGGAGAGGAAGGAGCGAGCCGACCCCCCGCTTGTGGGTCGGTCCCAAAAACCCCAAATCGACGATGACGCTACCATCGACCGACACCTTCTCCCGCCCTCCCCCTTCCCCCATACCCACCAACCAGCCTCTTCCTGGTATACCCCGAACCAGAAGCCCGAAGGCCCACCTTCTTCGGCACCCCTTCTTGCGGCATGGCCGGGAGCCCCTCCTCTCTCCGCGCCGCCCTCAACTCGAGTGGATGCCGGCGTGTTCTTCCAGCAGCCAGCAGCGGAAGGCACATGTCCACAGCCCGTGACGGCTCGGGGGTGGATCGAGGTGGTGAGTGCATCTCCTGTCCTGCCGACCGAAGGGGTGGGCTGTGCCCGGGGAGTGGGGCCCGGGTCGGGGTGTTGGGCGAAGGAAGGGCGTCCGAGCCCATGCGCGACGGAGACCAGAAAGCACACCCGCAGCAAGCCCGCCGCCCGGTCTTCCCCGCACAAGCCCCCGGCGGCCGGAGAGGCCACTCCCATCCCGACCCGCCGGTGCCACCCCGAAGCCGAATCCTGCTTGCTGGTATGCGGGGCGGGGTGCCGACCGGGTGCTTTGGCTCGTCTGGGGGTAAAACAAGGCGCGGCCCCTCCGACGTGCTGGAGGGAGGAAAGGGAAGGAAACAGGGAAGGACAGGGAGGGGGGGCGGGCTCGGGGCGAGCTATCATCCCTTCGTCCCAGTCGCATGTTCGACGGCCATGGTCCCCCGAGTGCGGTGAGTCGTGGCCGGAATGGCCGGCCCCATGGCAGAATCGGCGGCGGCTACAGCTAATGTGGATGATGCCGGTGATTGGCCCATCGTATCATCCAACAGCACGGGGAACACCGGAGAGTTCGTATTTGCTGCGGGGGGCATTGACTCTGTTGGCGTGGGTGGGGTAGGGGGGTTTTGGCTATTTGGCGGCACTCCCCCTATCGCCGGGAGGGAGGGTATCGTGGGGGATGTGGGATAGTTGACTGCTGTCGTCCCATCGGCCATGGTCGGATCCGACACGCGTTTCGTCGGTCCCCCCGCTATCGGGGGCGGTCACCGGAGAGGGAGGGTTT